CTTAGATACCATTCAAAATACTAACCCTTAGATACCATTCAAAATACTAACCCTATAAAGTTATAAATAACCCTAGCCTCTGTTATATTTCTTCACTTATTCATAGGTATATCTATTATTGGTGTCTCTCAGTCTGTGACATTTTCTTGTCTGCTGCCTGCACCCTTACTGCTAATTCACATTTGCAGGACTTTTCACGGGCATCTCCTTTCCTTTGAAACAGTCTGCCTACCACAATAAGACTTTCCCCTAGTCTTTAATTGTTTAAGAAGTCCCTCAAAACCTATATTTTCAGAAGAGCTTATGGCCTCCAAAAGTAACTTCTTTTTCACAAATCTGTCTCTTGCTTTCTCCTAAAGGGTCACAATCCACATTTACCTCCAGTTCTGCTACTTCCCCACCTTGTTGTCTGCTATTCCCCTTGACGCCCTTTCTATTGTGTCTTTATACTTCACTCCTGTAGACTGTAAGCTCGCCTGAGCATGGTCCTCATCTATTGTTCCTGTAATATTTTGTCATTTTCATTTATTGTTAAATTTCCCCCTCTCATAATATTCTAAAGCGCTGCAGAATACGTTGGAGCTATATAAATACCAATAATAGTAAAATAATAATAAAGAAGGAGTTCTTTTTTTAAATGAGGTGGATTGATACATTTTAGTTCAATCTAAGAGGTGTCAGTTTCAATATTTACCACACCACTATGATGTAATCTTTTGGGGACAGTTTTTCTTGACTGGACCAGCATGTAACCCATTGTGAAGGGTTATCAACATTGCCATTAAATTATTTTAAAAATGCATTTAAATGCAATGTGTTATAAAGCCTCTTTCACATTGAACTAAACCCAACAGAGAGAATATAGAGCCCAAGAGATGCCCAAGAGTCACTATGTAGCGGTACTGCACACATGCTAGTTTTATATGATCATTACTAGTTTATATCTAAAGAGAAGTCTCTGACACATTCCATGATTCTCTGAAACAAAATTGTAAACATTGAGATTGAAGAATCAATCATATTCCTATATTTGCTACTAACTGGGGAAATATAATATTAAGATGTTTCCAGTTGTGACCATATTAACACATAAAGCTATACAATCTCGCTCATTCTTTGCCAAAATTGTTATCATTATTTTCTTGAGGAAGTAGCAGAAAGGTGAAAGGAAAGAAAATGACTTTGCTCCCTGCGGAACTAAAGAAATAGTTTCACGTTTTATGTTGGCATATATTGTGTTGGTGATTGACCAAACCGTCTATATACTTTTTAAGGATATCCTTACTTCATTATAATTCAATATATCTACTTCGATATAGCTACTGACAAGCACGTCTGTTCTGAAGAATGAAAATCTGACTATGTTACTCTTGGAAAACAGATACTTTCTCCAACATTTTTCAAAATATATTTCTCTTATCTGGAGCCTAGCGATGTAAAGCAATCAGTCCACATTTAGAATAAAGTTACACAAAAACCAAGTTATTTATCTCAGACATGAAAATGGTTCACGAAAAGTTAAGTTGGTTGTGCGATTAGATATAATTTTTCAAACAAAATATGTGACACCATGGATCTACAAAATATAGATACAATACTAAATTCATTGATAATGAAGCCTGTATCCTATCTTGGTACAATATATATGCTTTAAAATGATGTTCTGGGACCTTAGCAGCATAAAACAAATGCACGTATATGCTTTAAAGGGGTAATTTAGGATATTTTTATATCCTTGTGCTTAGTGAAGCAAACAATGATTTGTCTCAAAGCCAAAGAAGTTTGAATTCATTAGAGTGTTTGTTTCACATAGAAATATTTCTTATTTACTCACCATTCTCCTTTTATTAAATGCGTGAAGAAGTTTAGTGGACCCCAACCCAGTCCTCAATACACATCACTTGAACCAGTTTTGTCTATATTGGCTGAGAATTTGAATATGACTAAATCATGGATTGTTTGTGTGTCTTGGATCTAAAACCACTGGTGTAACATAGGATGTTTCCCTAAATGCAATCTTTATGGCTGAGAGGTTCTGAATAAAAAGAATGTTTACAAATAATTGCTGTGTTACATGTCATTCTATGTAAATATCATAAATGCCATACAGTTCACAAAGATTAACAGCCATGTGTTTTCTTTTTTTTTTACATGGATACATATATTGTTTCATTGGAAAATGCCCATCATGCCAAAAATAAACAATTTAAAAAAATTGTATTGCCTATAAATATAATAACTGTATAGGCAATATCATTTTATCTGTACATTTTCCGGTCAACTTGCCAAAGTGTCATATATTTTTATATTGAAAATCCTACATACAGGATTATTCACTAAAATGTGAATTCAACGGGAATTTATGGTCAAAATAACCATAAATTCTCATTTTACTAAATAGCCCTGCTGATATAATCTTGAGTAAATGAATCTTGCACATTTTGAATGCCGTAATGCTTGTGGCTCAATCCCTAAACGCTATGCCACTAGTCGTAATAAATTGCATTTAATTAATTACCTTGAGCAGACCTCATCATACACATACTTACAGACAATAGATCGACTTTAGTCGTTCTTTCTTTTCTGCCCATTCAGTGTCAGAGCACTGGTGATGAAGCACTGCTCTCCTTTCTCTGGTGCTGAACGAGTTTTATTGTCTGAATCAAAACTCTAAACACGTAAATGTAATTCACTGCATTTCAATAAAGAAGCTCCATTGACTATTTCCTCCATTAAGCTTTTACGCAAGCTTCAGCTAAATGCCCATAAATAAGAATAGCAGAAGTTTTACAACAGGTACAAACACATTGCAATGGTTTTTAAAATAAAATACCCAAAATCAAGAAGACATGCATCTACCCACATTATTTGTAAGTGCATAATCATTAAGCTATCTTTTCAGATGAATATAGAGCCTTTAGGAAAAAATAACCTATTCATTAGCAAGTTATACTCCATTAGGCAGCTGTTTACCGAGTCTCTTTCCGAAACTGGATACAATGTACTTAATCTAAAGTACCCAACATATTATGGCTCTCCTAATCAAAAAAGGTTTTACGCTTTGTCTAATTTTCTTACTTATTCCATTTTTTCTCTTTTGCTATAAATCCCACCTTTGAACATAATGAACGATAGTTCCTGGTATAATTATTCCTATTTTAAAACATACGGATTATGTTTATTTCTCCTTAAAAAAAAAAACACACAAAAAATAAATAAAATGAATAAAAGTGATGTGAGATAGTGCCTGGAAGCAGCTCAGGCATCTCTTATGCTTTATTATGTAGTCAGTAAAGAAATGTAATTAATCCCTCGACGTCAGAAATCAGGATTTTTCAAGACTAAGCTCTAATGAGAGAAAGCTGGGCTGTTGGCACTCGGGGCTTAAGCAAGTGACACTACATTCCATAAAACTTTATATATTCATTTTTTTTTTTTTATTCATAATGTACAAGAAAGTCTGCTGGATTGTATTTTGTTGTCTCTGCTGAAAGAGAGTGCTTAATAAAAAGCATAGGGTAGATGATATTAATATGATTTTAATTATCTGTACTGATTCATTTACATTGGGATTGTATGAACTACAACATTAAAGATTAGAATATTTAACAAAGCTAGAAAACAGAACGCCTAAAGCTAATCTATGGAGTATTTTGCTTATGATCCCTGATAAGTTATTTAAGCTTATTTAAGCCACTTTGGTTTAAATTTGTGGTTAAATATATTATTTTAATAGTCAGAATATTCATATATGCATTCGAGAAGGATAAAAATAATAGTGGACCGCGTGAGATGACGCGGCAGGCGTAGCTGCGTCCTCGTGGAGTCCGGCTGAGGGGAGATTGAAGGAGCATGAAGCGGTTGTGAGAGTGAACTGATAGCAGTGAAAAAAATGGCTGGGGATATCCTGTGCAGATTGGAAGAAGATTTGACGGAGCCCGGGGAGGCAGCAAAGCAGGAAAATTAACGAGGGAGAGAGAGACAAGCTGGCTACCTAAGGAGTGGCAAGCTGGAGGAGTAAAGTCCTGGAGTGCACCTGAGATAAGCTAAATCCCTATTTAAAACACTAAACATAAACACAGAAAAGGAGTCTGTGAAAAGTAATTAGGGAGAACAGAGGATTGTGCAGAGACCAGTTAGTTGGTATAAAAAAAAAAGGAGAGAAAAACTAAGCAAATTGTATTTTCAGTACTTAATATAGACTCTACATATCAGATTGTTTGCAATCACATAGGAAGCAAGCCATATAGATCCTTGAGGTTTGAGAAAGGGAGAAGAAAAAGGGGGGGAAACAAATATCGCTACAAAAAAGACACAAAATGGTAAACATCTAAAAAAAAGGTGTTTTTTTCATCAAACCTACCAAACAAAAAGACTAACATGGAGGTATCGCTTCTCTCCAATACACCCCCAGAGGAAGACATAAATAAAGGACAAGTGGAAGAAATTCAAGAATTAAGGGAAGGAAGAAAGGAACATGAAGACTTACTCAAACACTTAGATATACAATTCGCAAACCTGAGAGAAGAGATCCAAGCTAACACCCTAGATACAAAGAAAGACCTGTCAATTTTAAACCAACGCTTTTTAGACTTAGAGGAAAAAATACATGAATTAAAACAAAAAGAAAAAGTCCATAAAGAATAACACAGGGGGCTGGATAAAAAAAAATGGCTGACATGGAGAACAAACTGACAGACCTAGAGGATCAATCCAGACGGAATAACTTAAGAATCAGAAGAGTACCAGAAAAAACACATTCTAAAGATCTGGAATCACACATAGAGGATTTCTTCAAACACCTCATGGTGCAATGGGACCCCAGATTCCCCATAATGGAAAGATGTCATAGAGTGAACAAACCTAAGGGTGTCCCAGAATAACTTCCAAGAGATGTATTAATATGCTGCGCCTCCTCTAGAATCAAATCGCAAATCCTGAAAGCCATAAGAAACAATAAATGCTCAGAAGAATATGAAATATTGAAAATATTCCGGTGCCTGTCATGACAAACCAAAGAAAAAAGGAAGACCTTCTCTGATGGCACGCAAATTCTGAGGCAGAAAAATATCAATTACCGCTTGGGATTCCCAACGAGAATTATTATAACCCACAAAGGGAAGACCACCACATTTAATTATGCAGAAGACTTATGAAGCTGGTTAAACAAAAAAAATAATAGTGGATCAATGAGTTAACAATTTCTCTAGCCTACATATTGTGACACACACTTCATAACTAAGGACCAGAGGATGTTCAGTACCCTGGACTCATGTGAATATTGTCAATTTACATCCAGGTGATAAAATTGTAGAAGATGGTCAGTTAGAAGACAAAGTGTCTAACTATTCCCCTTGAATTCTGATAAGGCCTATTTTTTTTTTTCAAACTGTCAGCTATATAAAAGAACACTTTTTGACTAGCTGATTTTAGGGTTTTTTATAATTAGAATTAAAATTAGGATTAATTAAATAGTCAAAATGAGACTTAAGGATTTTCAAGTTAGGAGTCTGCTTCAAGAAAATACCTATGAAAGGATTGTGGATTACTACTAATATTTAAAGGGAGTGATGCAGTTAGGTGACTTGGAACTTTGGGACCAGTGCCCCAAAACAACTATAGACATGTACACTAGGATCGCATTTAGGATCCCATGATCCTATTTGGGTTGTAACATAGATAGCATTACAGCAGGATACCTCTAGGTCCATATATGAATGTGGATGAGAACAGAACTTAACGCTGGTCTGTTTTAGCACAGTTTGTGGTCTAGGGGTCTTTTAGACTCCCTGGTCTAGGACAGGACTTTGGAGCATTGTATGCTATTATCAAACCTTCACTCACTGAATGCATTACATTTTTTAGATTATATAGTTGCAAAAAGCTGCACCAAAGACATGTGAAAATGTTCAGTTCTGTGCACTTCTTTCAAACTTATGCAATTCTAATTTTTTTCAATTTTTCAGTTCTAAAGACTTAAAGGATCACTATAGGGTCAGGAATACAAACATGTATTCCTGCCCCTATAGTGTTAAATCCACCATGCCTCCATAAATATAGCAAAATCTTACTGTATTCAAGCCAGAAACTATAACTCTGCATGCTGTTTGCCTCTAAAAAGCAAGCAGTCTGTTGACATCATCAGAAGTGGTGGCCTGATCCAATCGCAATGCTTCCCCATAGGATTGGCTGAGACTGATAAGGAGGCAAATCAGGGGCAGAGCCAGCATGATTCAAATACAGCCCTGGCCAATCAGCATCTCCTCATAGAGATGAAGTGAATCAATAAATCTCTATGAGGAAAGTTCAGTGTTTGCATGCAGAGGGAGGAGATACTGAATGTTTGGAAGCATTTTAGGCAGCCATGACCCAGGAAGGATCTCTAACAGCTATCTGAGGAGTGGCCAGTGAAGTTATCACTAGTCTGTAATGTAAACACTGCATTTTCTCTGTAAAGACAGTGTTTACAGCAAAAAGCCTGAAGGTAATGATTCTACTCACCAGAACAAATTAAATAAGCTGTAGTTGTTCTGGTGACTATAGTGTCCCTTTAAGTCAAACTTTTTTTGGTTCAATTACAACATTTTGGTTAATTTTCAAGCAAAAAAAAATAGCCTATAGTATCCCTTTAACCCAAAAAAAACCTTTAAAAAAAAACTTTAGCTCTCAAACTGTAAATTAGCAATTTAAAGTTAATGTTACATAGCACTGGTTACTAAACTTATGCAAAGTGGATATTTTTTGGTTTTTACAAATTTATTTTTAAATTTATTTTTCGACTATGAAGAAATTCAAAGTTTGATAAAATATTATGAAATTCAAAAGGACACTAAGTCGGTCAAAATGATGCCGAATTTCAATTTTGATTGTTCCACATCTACAAGTCTAGAATTACATTGCGCATGGTTAGTGAGAGTTCATAGCTTAGAAAAAGTAAGCTATTTGCCACAATGTCAGTGAATTTTTTTTATTTATTATGATACAAAATATGCAAAGAACAGAAAGGAATGGCCACAACGTATATTGTTTATCATCCTAGTAACATGCAATGACATTAACTATTTGAGATAGGCTACATTTTGGTGTAGTAGGCTATTAGCATTCATAAGCTATGTATTTGTATCTATATTGTCAGCTTGAGGATGCTGCATTTCTTTTAAGTGAACAACTGTACCTTGTAAGCTTATACAAAATCAAATATGGTTCTGTATGTAATGAGCTAGTGCATTTTATTTGAATGTAATCCTTTCTTGAAAATTCTACTCATTTTGAAGATAAATATGACTCATTTTGAAATTTTTTAATTATATCGGCTATTTTCAAAATAATAAATTAGCATTTTGTTTGATATTCTAAATTTAGGATTTATTGCTTTACTGACTCATTAAGGATCTGTCTGAAATACAGACAGTTATTAATTTATCACTTCAGCCTAATAATTACATGTGGTGGACAAAAACAGTATTATTATTCTGATGATAATAGTTATGCAATATAAAATAAACATATGGATGCTAAACGCTGTGATCCACTATTTTACCTGCAGACAATACTGAATCACAGAGCAGGTGATTTGCCTGTTGTGACTTTCTTATGTCTATAATGATTTTGCTGGTCCATTGCGTATATAATTTAAACATGTTTTTGTACAGCATCTAGTTAAGGTGTAAAGTGGAATTCATAAAATACATATCACTGAGAACATGCATATCAAATCATGGACCTCATTTTTTCTACTTTACCTGATGTGGAATGGTACAGATAAATTAAATAAATGTAGAAAAAAAATATACGAATGAAAATAATGATGTAAGAGGGAGTATTCTGCTCCAGTAGTAACAGAAGACAAAAACACAATAATAATGCAATGTAAAACGAGAATAAACATCACTGTGTACCATGTTTCTTCATTAAGCCCTCTGGGGGCTAAAGCCTCCAAAAGAAAAAAAAAACACTATGACTTGGCCGATAATAATATCCTATGTCTAAGGACTAAATCTATTTGGGGTGGTATCCAATAAATACCGACTGATTTTAAAGTGTTGCGGCCTGGCTGATGGTATGTTCTTAAATGAATGGAATTGGAAGTATTTCACTTGGGATTTAGAATGGCAGACCTTTGTTCCCTAAATCTCCTCTTAAATGACATGTTATATAGTGTTTTTAAAGGGCAGAAATGACATTATTTTAATATATGTATATCTAACACAACATTAAGTTGGAATAAAATGTTAAAAATCTGAGAAAATTTGCTTATCCTTATTATTAATTTTAGTTTATTTTTTGTTAATAATAACTTAAACAAAGAACTCAACAGGAAGTGGGAGGGTCAGGGTGGGAGGGTCTGCTGCTGATTGGCTGGAATGTGTCTGCTGACTGTGAGGTACAGGGTCAAAGTTTACTCAATGATGAGTCCACGGCGAACCGTTCGGGACATCACTATTCATAACCTTATACTTAACCTTAACCCTATTGTATCCCTAAACTTTAATCAGTATTAACCCTAACCCAGCATTAACTTTTACCATATATTTACCCTACACTAATCCTAACCCAAGCCTAGCACTAATACGTAAAGTTAACCAACCATAACTGAGAGCTGTTTCAGCAGAAGGAATTCCCAGCTCACACAGTAGAAAGCATCCCTGATCTCATATTTATAATAGTAGGTGACTTTGAAAAAGGTACTCAATCAGTGCTCTCTTGTCATGATAGTGATCCCTTCTCACAGAGTATAACCCGGAGCAAGACGTATACCTATACCGCACCTTAGAGTGGCCGTACTAATGTTTTAGAGAAGTCAAAGGGATAGCCAGAGGTCAAGGGAGTACAGAAGACAGACAAATGATTTAACCAAGCCAAAATATGGATAACCAGAGAGCAGAATAGTCAAAATTGAAAGCCAATAGTCAATTACCAGGAAACAAACACTCAAGAATATAATAAGCACTAGAGGAACCAACAAGAACCACACTAGGGCGCCTTACAACTGACAGGGATGCCCTTATATAGTGTGGGGTTTATAGCTTTAAAACCACGCCCCCCAAAGGTCCGGGAGTGTGGTCGTGTTTGGACTACGTCGGCATCTTCTTGCCGGCTACGGCGCACATGCGCCGTTTCATAAATGAGAGCACGATGTGAGCGACCAGCGTCAGAAGGACTGTGCCACTCACCAGAAGTGAATGAAGAGAACGCCGTGCTGCGCGGGTGCAAAGAGGAAAGGTAAGGTATCGTTACATCTCTACTGTGTTATTTCAGCATGAGAGGGATATCTCCCTCTCATGTTACAGTTTTTTTCATACTGTCCCTACTGATCACACAGTGATCTGTGCTGGGAACCTGACAAAGCCCAGTGTTGGTCACTGCCAGGGGGGCATGGAAACTCTATCAAGGATAGATGTTTTTTTTATACCCAGAGTTCTCTTTCCATTTCGTGCAAGCAGAGAATCACTGTGGCTGAATGTAAATGCTCAGCCACCGTGATTTAAAGGAATTTGAAAAAAAATACATGCAGATATCACTCTGAGCATTGCATACAGCTAATCTATCAGTCTGGGGACATGAAACATGGCCCAAGCTAACCAAGGGAAACTACAGGTATCAACTGATACCTAGGTGTCCCTAGTGTAAGTAAGGTTTTAATCTTGAACACACCAGAATGCATTTCTTGATTATCTGAAAACATTAAATCCCACCATTTGTGGATGAAATAGAATATGATAATGTTGTCAATGAGCTAAGATGACATTTTTCCATAACAACTAACTATTTTAATTAAATATCTAAATGATTGTCATGAATAAACCCCCAATAATCAAGAGAGAGAGAGTCAGCAATATTGTCTCTAATACACTCTGTAATGTCATTGTTAACCATGTGGTTAATATTGACACCCATTTAGCTTGTGCAAGGAACTAGTCCTCTCCTATCCCTGAACTACATGATATTCTTCAGGTGAGGATTTAATTAAAAATCTTTTATATAATTTGAAAAAAAAAGTCTTCACTAATGTAGAATAGAGGGGTGGAACGCATCCCTGATCTTATATTTATAACAGCAGGTGATTACTTTGAAAAGGTACATTGACATTATTTTGCTCATATGCTGTGCTCATGGAAAATCTCCAATATTTACTGATGGATGAACACCTTGAACATTTTAATCAAGTTCAGAGTGAATCGGAATATAGACTTGACATGTAGTATG